TGCATTGTCCAAATAATCAATACAATATCCTATATCCTGTCTGGGAGTGTAGCAAGCAGAGAAGTAGATTATGCTGCAGGAGTGTGTTGAAAAGTTATTCTATGAATTTTGTAATTGTCCACCCTGGAAACTGATCACTACTGTAACCAACTTGAATTGTGTCTGACTACACACGCTGTGCTCCATGAAGGGTAAAACAGCAGTATTGGGGTAATGTCTTAAGATTGTTGTACTAATATATTATTTTTCCTCTCTTGACAGTAACATCAAATGGAACTTCACAAAGGTAATTTGCTGATATAGTTAGCACTCTTTATTTTTAAGAAGCATCTTCAGTTAAATTATGCTTTTTTTTTTTTTTGCCTCAACAGCTTGAAAAACAGATTTTGTGCTCATATTTTGGTGTCTTATTCCTCAACAGTTTCTGATTAATAGAGAGGGACTAGTGGTGAAAAGATATGGCCCAACAGATGATCCCAGCGTAAGTAGCACTCGCTATAGTTTTTCTGTGCATGCTGTGAAATGGGGCACTTTGCATATGATCTTGGTGCATACCATGGTTTCCTGCTATTGTGGTTTTCTTAAAGCTTTGTAAATCTCAACCTGTGGCCGTTTATTCAGGCAATAATCAATGAAATGGTGCCATTCCCCATCTCTGTCATAGTAACACTTCTACTTATTTCTCTTTGCAGGTTGTGGAGAAGGACCTGCCAACGTATCTGTAATACTGCTGTTTCCCGTGTGTTTGACTCCTGACGTCTCCCATGGACTTCTGGGTATTGGTGTGTGTGTGTGTGTCTGGACCAGTGACGGCCTGTCTGTAAACCCAGCTTTGGGAAGGGCAGGCCTGATGATCCCCAGCGTGCAACTAACCTCCAGAACTCACCCACACCAAACCCATGAGACCATGTGAGTGGACATTCAGTAGTTATTTAAAGTAGAGGCCCTTCACATCTTACTTCACACTCAAAACAGCCATTCATTTTTCTTATACATTTACAATCTAGTCTTTTCTGAATGTTAAGTGACAAGTTTGTTCATGTGTCAATGTCAGCTTTATGTTTTTATGTACGGACATAATATGCCATACATTTCACAGATCTCTGTAAAGCTACTGATAATATTATTTGCACTTAACTGGGCCTGTTATTGTGTCTGATCATGTGATGACACTGGAATATAAATGCTCTCTTGGACATCATTTGTCAATTTACATGCACCTATTAAAATCTAATTTGAGCCATAGTGACTTTGTGTGTTATAATGATCTGTTTATTTAGTTTTTTGTACTTCTTATTCAGATAGCCTATTTGTTTGGATATTTTATAACTACATTTCAACACGTAACCCATGTTATGTGTGCCTAACAGTGGTTTCCTTCCTTAGTAATACTTAAAAGTTTTATTACATTACCGTAAGTCAGTATTTCCCCAAGTATGTAAGTAAGGAGTTTTTCTTTGGTTTGATGTATCCAAAAAACATAATTCTATTATTTTTGTATAATAATTTCCGGTATGTCTTAAAGGTTTGTTTTACACATCTGTAATATACCAATCATTTCTCAGGAGGTTTCATGGAATTTATAGTAATTGTTGTGAATATAAAAAGTTCCTCAAGAGAATAGAAACCAAAATAAATATTGATCAATTAAATTTACAATTGAAAACTCTGCTCTCGTTCATATGTTGAACGGTATGCTTGCCTGACGACAAATTTTTAATGTATTCAATTGAAAGTGAAAATATAGACCATAAAATAAAGTGTGACCTTGCCTTTTCACCCACCATGAAAAGAAATAATTGATACAAAATTAAACACGATAACACTGTTTCCTCATATGGCAAAAAGTAAAGTATCTCATAATTGTAACTCACACCATACAAGTCATAATTTACATAACTTCCTACAACTTTAAGTTAGTTAAGTTAGTGAGTGTAAAACAGTTTAATGGGAAATAATATTGTGGCAGCATTTTTCTCTAACACTGACCTAGGTTGCTTTCCGTAGCTGAGAAATTGAGGGAATAAATAAAATGAGTAGCTAGCTATTGAAAGTGTTTAAACTCTTCTACTCTTTAATTTATTTTCTTTGTGTTTTTTTCATAATGTCTACATCAACTAAGAACTGAACTATATTTGTATGTAGTGCTGCTGTTCATAATATAAAATGAAGCTGCCTGGTCCCACCCAGAGCCCCACACACAGTATCTGATCCCTCTGAGCACAGTGACGCTCTAACGGCTGTGCGCTCAGTGCGCTGCTGTAGCGGCACGCAGCCGTTGATGACGCACAGTAGCGGCAGAGATGATCAGCACCGCTGGCTCTGGACGTGTTCGCTCCCTGTGTCTGTTTACAGCCGCAAATGGACAGTTATGTAGTCTGTAATTGTACCAGGAAACGTCGACGGAGGTGAAAAATGACAGCATTTGTAGACAGTTTCGGAGCGCGTACCGTGTAGTCTCGTTCTCGCTGAGGAAGGATACGGCTGCGCGTCGTCGTCAGGCACCGTCCTGGAGATGGACGGGAGGACTGCGGAAACCGGGAATGACGGGAGGACGAGTGAGGAAGCGGCCGCCGGCCTACAGCTTGACTTGGGGGACACCGGTCCGTATGTCTTTCAGTTACCATTAGAGTCGTTTATTGTGCGACAGACAGTCAGATAGTAGCACCGTTGTGAGCTTATTCAAACCCAGCTTCCAGCGGCAGCAGATGGGGAGAGAAGTTGGACAGAAGTGGGCAGCGTCCTACCATTCAGTCATAATAATGTGGCTATGCACACTGACCTAAAAGGCTAGACTACAGGGGGGGGGGGATATATATATTACTGCCACTAAATTAGATACAGAAAATTGTAGATAGAAGAACCTAAGCTGTTGAAATGAATAATAAATTGCTTGGTTAGATAACAGTGTCAAGATTCAAGTCAGTGCTGCTCTGTTGTAAATGGCTCATAGTGTCAGTGTCTCACTGCAGCCTGGCACAGGCACAAGGTGCACATTAGGGATTTGTACTCCACATGAGCTATTTACTTGTGGGGTATACACAGCATACAGTAGTCGTTTGTATGTACAGCAGCCACTAGTGAATACATTCATTGGTCTTTCAGGTGCTGTTTCGCTCCTCTACTTAACCTCTGTCTGTCTTCATCATTCTTACCACATCTCTATTCCTCTTCCTCGCTAAATCTGAAGAGTACTTTAACGTTACATAATCTGATATGGAATTATAACATAAAGCACACACTAATCCCCTGTGGGTATCAATTCAATTCATAGCTGTGGATGTCATGGCTCAGTATGGCAGAACATACATGACAGTTCAAATGTTAAAGAAAGATTTAATCAGCTAGGAGGTCCAACATTTCGTCTTTGCATGTGCATGTATACGCAGTTACGTTGGATGTTTTTGCACAGATGATTATTATTAATACCACCAGATTATAGTTGTGTGCAGAGGGCCACGGGGCATAAAAATCTACTCCTGTGTTCAGTGTCACATTAGTGTCACAGCAACAGGCTGTCACTTTCTCAGCTAAGGGAGAGATCTAATCCTCTTTATATGACACACGCACACAGGCCTTAAGGGATACTTCTCCTACCATCGACATAAAATTATGTAAGGATATCTCAGTAAATGTACATTTCCTTAATGTATCAGCTTTGATTCATACAGGTAGCCTGTTTGTCACGTAGTAATCAGAAATGCTACAATGACTTTGTCCCGTTTGTTGCTTGCAGCTCAGTGGCACATTATTCTGGCCTGACCCTAATCCCACAGAGACTGTTTGTGTGTGCAGATACACCTTCTCATTGTTCTGCCTGACAGGCTTTGATGCAGCGTTAATCTGCATGTTACAGGTGTGGCCAGCCGTGTGTCCTATCACTGCACGGTTGCCTAAAAGAGATCAATGGAATTAAAGGGATACAGTTATTTTTGTTTGCACAGTTGCATGCTGAATTTCGTTGCCATGATTTCCTAAATGTAATTAATGCTTTCTCAATAGTCCTGTATGTTCTTTTGCACAATTAGTCCAGTCCAATATGAAAGCATCACTGTGCCTAAGGAAAGCCTTACAGAGCTGCCTGCATAGCTATAGACTATTGTCATTAATGCAGTTGCCATTGTAAAGCAGCTAAAGAGTCAGAGCAGTGGTACACGTGTACACCAGGGTCATACTACCTGTCATCAGGATATTTAATCAGATATGCTGCAAGTTAGTTTTAATTTTCAGTTTTAATTAAGAATTCAGGTTGTGTGACTCTATAAATGAAGTCATTAGGTCATCAGTATTATGTATTATGTTGAAGATCAACTATCATTGTGTTCTGTGGTGCCTTGGTGATGGCAGGCTCTTCTACAGTGTGTGCTGTTCTTAAACATGGCTTAAAGATTCATTATCCGTGCTTTGTCAGCTGCACTTCCTTAATCTTCATCCTCACATGACCTGCAATTTAGCACAATGATGTAAACAAGTAGTTTGTAGTACTGTCAAATGCTATGAACTCTTTTCCCCTTCCGCTTCCTTCCTTCCTGCTCTCTCTTCCTCTTTATTACACAGACACATACGGACACAGTCCAGTTGTGTCCTTAATGTCAGTGGCAAAGATTCCTCCTAATCCTCATGTGTGATTGGTTGACGATGTGATCTGGAGACCTCAGCCAATGGCAGCGCTCAGATTAGGGAGGAAGTCAATCCAATAGAGTTTTTACCTTCTCTGTACAAATCTCACTGATCCAGGAATAGAAAACAGTGACCGCAGTCTACAGTGGTTTGACTACTTAATGTCAGGTTTTGGTTAAGCCAGGAATTTTGTCTTTCTGGATTATCTAACAACTGGTAACGTGTAGGCTCTGAACTCTTCTGCTGGTGAGTTTACCACTGCATTATTTGGCACAAGGTTGGTGAAGTTAAATTTGTATGAAAGCTGTCAAATTATCTAAAAAGATTCTCACTCTCAAGGGCCATTAGTAGCTGTTCTGGGTGTTTGATGGTATCACACAATCTTGCTCAGCAGATGTTGTTCATTCCATTTCTTACTTGGTTAAATAAATGTTAGGTAGATAAATAACAATGAAAACGTATGCCCTGATGAAGGGTTGGGCTGATTGTGCTGTGCTGTTTAACTGGGTAACAATTGCCAACATTGGCAACGTTTCTAAATCCTTAATTGCTAAATCATGCTTAATATATATATAATGTGGACACTTCTCAACCTAATTTCCCTGCATCCTCTCTCTCTGTCTCTGTCCACAGATTCAGCCAAGCGGGCTCAGATAACAGAGGTGAGAGGCTACTTCACACTATACACCCGTCTGGCTCACCTGTCTCTGTTGCTTTCTTCTTCTCTCTCCCTTCTCTTTTTTGGTTTGCTGCTTGATTTAATTACACGTGACCTTTGATGAGACAATATACAATGAGAACAGTTCCTTTACATTCCGTTCCGTATACATTTGCATTTCCCTTTTCTTTCCATATGACAGATGCCGTCCCCATTCGGAGTGGGCCCAGCCCATGAGAAAAAGATTGGCCACAGGAGGGTAGATGCCTCTGGAGAGACCACATACAAAAAGGTAGGTTCATCTGTGTCTCTATTTGACTTTGCCTTTTGTCTTAAATACTGTTTGTAGGTTTGCTTGGCATCACGATTTCACAAACTACTTTCTACCCACACCTTACACTGTTGTTCTTTTCTCTCTTCTCCGCCTCCAGACCACCTCCTCTGCCTTGCAAGGGGCCATCCAGCTGGGTATTGGATATACCGTTGGTAACCTCAGCTCCAAGCCTGAGAGAGATGTGCTGATGCAAGACTTTTATGTAGTGGAAAGCATCTTCTTCCCCAGGTGCGTTTATACGAGTGGATTTGTGTTTATGTGCACGGTTGTGGCAATGATCTAATATCATCTTTTACTCTTCCTTACTCTACCCATCTTGCTCCATACAGCGAGGGCAGTAACCTCACTCCAGCCCATCACTACCCAGACTTTAGGTTTAAAACTTACGCCCCTGTGGCCTTCCGCTATTTCCGAGAGCTGTTTGGGATCCGACCAGATGACTACCTGGTGAGATATTTATTTTCTCTGATAACCTGTGATGCACTGACAGCATTTGAATGTCTTATAAAGTCAATTCATAAATGCCAATTCATAATATTATTTAAATAGTTGGATTATTTCCTTGTCTATGACCACAACAATACAGATTTAATAATGTTTATATTTGCATTGGATATGTAAAGCGTGAAAAACACTGCTTAATTCATTATTGCATGGAGCAAGACATAATTTAAAAAACTGCGTTATACCTTATACCTTATTACATCCTTAAACTGGTAATTTGTCTGTCTAGGGTTCTGACAAATCTGTGTTTTGTTTCTCTTGCTCGTTACATTTTATTTGATAGGAGTGTAACAGTTAACACTGTATGATCTGACTTGACATTTTCTAAATTTAGGTTTGTGTGAAGTTCTCTCTGAAATCATTCAAAGGATGATCAGTGGAGTTATCAAAGAAAACATGCCTCCCGCCACAGCAGACCTCTGTTGCTCTGAAGATGAATGTTAAATGCCTTCACACATAAAAAGAAGAACTGTGTACATGCAAACATAAAAAAAACAGTTGCACATGCCCTCACATATTTTGCATGTGAGGCTCCACACGCGCGCACAAACACACACACACACACCTACACACACATGCAGGGACATACAGTGTTCTTAGCTGCACGTTTAAGCTCACATTCTACCTGTGCTAGAGGGAGATTAGCAGACTAAAGCTTTCTTTTTTAAACTCCAAGTAGTGGCTGCAGACACTGAGAGAGTAGTTTGTGTTTGTGTCTACATGTGTTTGTGTTGGTGGTGGAGAGTAAAAGTAAAGTAGAATTGCATAAGTGTTAGAAAATTAAATTACTTAGCTAGAGAAATTAACTCCAAGCAATAGGCACTTTCTCTTACTTTTCAACTTAAGTCTCCAGATTCTAAAGAACTTCATTAGAACTCACTTCATTATTTACAAAGTCCTAATGGCTCTACTTCACAGTGAGATATTCAGTGTAAACGCAGTAGTTTATAAGGTTTGCCTGAGGTTAACACAATTCCTTGTAGTGCACAAGGTATTCAGCACCAGTAGATGAAAGTAACACTTCCAAAGTTAACTTCACTCTACATTAAGTTGTAAATGTCATAATGTACAATTTAGACTCCTCTAGATGTGTAATTCTTCCCACCCACACCTGTCCCTTTTGTACTCAGTAGTATACACACACTTTCACGTTAAGTTCCCTTTTTGCTGCTGATGAGCAATGCATTGTGAGTGGGTGGATGTATTAGTCTTTTGAGTGGCTATTTGAAAGCTCTGTTGGATCCAACATTAACAGTGCTATGCAGCCCTGAAGTGTTAAACTACAATCTCTCATAAAATTACATTTGCAAAGACCTTTACCAGATGTCAGGCAGAAAAATTAATAAAATCTGCTTTTATGGATGTTGAAACAGTCTTTTTAGAGATTAAGGGTCAGATTTTAGACTTAAAATGAACTTAAATTTTAATCTCTGTTTGTTCTCTGCTCTGTCTAGTATTCTCTGTGTAACGAGCCACTGATCGAGCTGACAAATCCAGGAGCTAGTGGCTCCATATTCTATGTAACCCGCGATGATGAGTTCATCATCAAAACTGTTCAGCATAAAGAGGCAGAGTTTCTACAGAAACTCCTTCCTGGATACTATATGGTAAGTCAAACTGAGCCCCTCCCTCATCAATTCAATAACCGTTTCCAAAATGTTTCAGTATATATGTCATAACAATATATTAGATACTGTAACTTGTATGCTTTTTCATTTCTACTAAATAACCTATATGACCCTGAGAGGAATTGGAAAATGAAAACCTTGCCACATGTTTTGTAATATTGTGTCTATTTGGGTGTGTGGGCATGGGGTGTTTGTGTACATGAGTGCATGCTTAAGAGCAACACAGCAGCTGAAACTTCTAGTCATCTTTATCCTCTTTATCCTACCCCCTGGCTCCGGTCAGCAGTGACGCCAGCAGTCACAGAGACCGGGGCCCGGGTTAAGCACTCTTTAACAGGTTAAGCATGCACACAGGAGAGACACAAGAATGAGCTGAGCCCTGTGGATAGATCACGCTGTCTGGCAGGTGCATGGCACTGGGACCGAAAAACATAGACCGCATGCCTTATTATTAAATAAAGTACCATATTTCTCTCATTCTCCCTGTTTCTTTTCTTATGTCTTCTGCATCCACCCCCATCTCCAGAACTTGAACCAGAACCCCCGGACTTTGCTGCCAAAGTTTTTTGGCCTCTACTGCGTCCAGTGTGGGGGCAAGAACATCAGACTTGTTGTGATGAACAATATTTTACCGCGCTCTGTACGCATGCACACCAAGTTTGATCTGAAGGGCTCCACATACAAGAGGCGAGCATCCAAGAAGGAAAGAGAGAAGTCCAAACCCACTTTTAAAGACCTGGACTTTCTGAGCGACGTTCCTGAAGGCCTCACTCTGGACCAGGACACATACAGTGCTCTGGTCAAAACTCTGCAGAGAGACTGTCTGGTGAGAAAGAGGAGTGGGAGGAGATGGATGAAGAGTAGTTTGTAAAAGTAGATTAACACTGTGCATTCTATTTTATTTTAAACATGTCCCACAACCAACCACACATAAACTATTTAACTATGTTCTCAATAGTTGATGCTGTAAATAAGTAATTAAAGAGCAATTAAAAGGTAGGATGAAACAATAGAGTAAGAGAAGGGAAATATTAAGGTAAATTTTGCCATTCCCCAAGCTGTAAAATCAAATCCATACATAAAAAGTAGTGTAATTTTTTTAGGAGCTAAATCTTTTGAAATATAATGTGTGCATTTTACATCAGGTTCTGGAAAGTTTTAAGATTATGGACTACAGTTTGCTGCTGGGGATCCATAACAAGACCCAAGCGGAGCGAGAGCGACAGTCTCAAGGCTCTCCTGCAGGAGGCGGGGATGAGAAGAAGCGTGCCGCTCAGAAAGCCTTGTACTCCACTGCCATGGAGTCTATACAGGGAGGCTCCACATGCAGGGACACACTGGACCACGATGACACGTAAGTCAACATTTTATAGTGTTTGCCCTTATCATCTCATTACATTTACAAATGATGGTAATGTTCTAATGTCTGTCTGTAGTATGGGTGGCATTCCAGCTGTGGGTGGTAAAGGAGAACGCCTCCTGCTGTTTATTGGAATCATTGACATCCTGCAGTCCTACAGGTAAGCAACAAGACATTCAGAAGTTAAAGCTGTCATGTAATATCAGTAAATGAATACATTAACTTTGAAATAGTTCACGAACAAACAAAGCCAACTGTAAGTGTTGGAAGAAAAACAAAGCACTGGTTAGGGGCAAGTTGCAAGATTCTCCTTACAGCTCCAAGCATCAGGATTTATAAGACACACAAACCACTAGCAGGATGTTGTGCGATGCATAGCATAAAATCTAGTTGTTAATGGCGTTTCAAGTTGGACTGTAGCCAGTGGTTCAGCCGTGAGTTGCCAGGTGACATTAAGTCACTGAATGAGCTTAACTAAATAATTTAATTGTCTTTGTCTGACAGAATGATCAAGAAACTGGAGCACTCTTGGAAGTCCCTCATCCATGACGGGGTGTGTACCTTCCACATAACTGTTATGTAACAATCTGTATCCAAGCAATCTAAACCTCACAAAAACATATCATTTTTTTAAAATATATTTTGGGTTTAAGTACCTTGATTGCCATTGTGTGTGAAAAGTGCATTAGAAGTCCCTTTACTCAATCTCCCTTTTCCACTGCTGCCTCCGCTTCCCTCACAGGACACAGTGTCAGTTCACAGACCTGGTTTCTATGCTGAGAGGTTCTACAAATTCTGTAGCACCACTGTCTTCAGGAAAAGCTGCTGTGAGTTTACAACTGAGCATGAGCCATAATCTCCAATAGTGTTTTATGTGTGACGACAACAGGGCCAAAAATGCAGTATTCATTATCGGGACATTTTACCTAATTTTTGGAATGAGAACATTTTTTTTAACTATGCCCTGATTTCACAGCACTGCGATCGTCTCCATCTAAAAGAGGACGAGGGGCTCCTTCCATGTCCAAGTCCGGTGCTGGAACAGGTTCAGCGGGGCAGCGTCCCTCAGTGAGTGACGAGAAGCAGGAAAACTTAGACAACTTGGAGAACCTACGCGGAGCTCGTAGCTTCCCCATGCTGGAGGATAATGGTAATTAACTTCTTGTAAACTGTATTAGTCCACAATGATATTGATGCTTAATTCCAAACACAATAATACCAGTATTATAGGATTGTTTGGCTGGCAGCCTTTATCAGTCTTTATGAAGGCGAGCTGCCTTATTAAAGCTAGTGAGTGAATGTCTATGCTACATGCTAATGCTGCTTGAAAAAGAAGAAAGAGAAAACTGGTGAGTGCTGGTTTCCCGCTTGTTACATTGTGTTTTTCTGAACTTGGCACACTATTAGCTTCAATTGTCTGCAGCAGAGAGCTCCATTTTCCTTTTAATTGAAATTAAGTAAGCCTTTATTGATCCATGTGGAGAAATAGAAGTGCAGCAGCAGTTTATTAAAGTAAAAGTAAAGTAAAACTTTAACAAATGATGGCTAGATATTTATAGATAGGTACTTTAGAAAAGCCTAATGTGCACAAGATTGCATTATTTACTGTCCACATCAACACACAGGTCATGTAATGGCGGAGGTATGGTGTTGTACAATTAGATAGCAGTTTGCTTGAATGAAACGTTAATTTGATTATGCCTGATTTAACACAATTAAATTCTATTTCTTGTTTTCGTGGTATATTTTCATTACTCGGATATACTTGATGATCTCTTTTTCTATTTCTTGGTTCATTATGCATATTAGCGAGAGAGCCACCCTGCACTCCTCCTTCCTTCGAAGATGCTACCACAGCTTCTATCGCTACCACACTCTCTTCTAACAACTCTTTACCCACCACCCCCTTCGACACACCAGAGCACCCACGCTACAGGAGACAAATGCATTCCCCAAGTGTGGCCAGGTGAGAATAATTGCATGAATATGCAACGAATGTAATGGTAATATTCTGTCAAAACAACGTACTGTGTACCCTGTACCTTCCCTGCTGATACCACATATCTTCGTGTGTACTTTCAGGTCACAGAAAGTTGAGGTTCATGGGGAAAAGCAGGATACCATAACAGTGGAGGTGGAGCTCAGGTACACACATATACAGCAATACCATACTAATGTCCATAGCTGCCTGTGTAACAGCATTTTAACAGTGTTCTTTATCTTGCTTCATACAGTAAAATCCCAAAGAGCACGGAGCTCACACAGTTGACAGAAATGGCTTCCCCCAGCCACCTGTCACCCGATCATCAACCTCACGTCTTTGCCCCATCCACCCCTCCCTCCATCAATCCATCCTCGGCACATTCTTCCACCACCCTTCCTCCTTCCTCTGTGTCTTCCTCCTCTGCTGCTCAGTCAGCTAGCCAGTCATCCTCCACACTTGCTACATCCATCCGTCCATCCACCAAACCACTCACCTCTCCCACAGTGGCTCAGTCTTCCACTCTTTCTTCCCCTGTCTGTCATTCCACTGCACAATCCAAGTTTATCACCTCAACTCCAAACTCCTCCACCCTACCTCCTGCCTCAGCATTTACTCCCATCTGCCCTGCATCTCCTCACTCCTCCATCCGGAGCTCCTCGCACCATCTCCCCTCGACCCCTCCCTCCTCACAGCCTCCAAGCCCCCAGGTGCCTCCGCAGGCGCCGCGTACATCTTGCAATCAGCTGTCTGTGTCCAGCAGCCACAACTCATTGGATGGGGAGGTGCCGGTGTCTGACATCTACTTTGTAAGTCCTCATTATTATGTATCAGTGCTTTGGTTTTTGTTTGAAGTGATTTTAACTGCTTGAGCTAGGGGTCTATCGTATCAGTACACTGCAGGAATCTCTCTTCAGTGTTGCTTTGTTGTCGGTCAGTCCAGAGGGTAAAGATAATTTTTCCTTTTCTGTCCTTTTCTTTATCTACTGGGTTTCTTGCAGTGGCCCAGTCAGGACAGCGTGGTAGAGTTATGATGGTGAGGGGGGAAGGTGTCTGTGTGTTGCAGTGTGCACGTACTACGGACTCTCGCTGCCCGAAACGCTTTTTTCCAAAGCACGAGGCTGGCACCAGTCATAGTTCATGCTTTTTTTATGCATCAGCAGAACACTGGGGTTGTCTTTCCTGCACAGCATGATGTATTTATATCTGTCAATCTGCATTCATGCACCCTGTCATTGTCATGCCCAGCTCGCCATAATTCACTCTCTTTGTGTGAATTATTTCTCCTTTATATAACATTCGTTGTCCATTTTCCACTTTCCTTCCTTTTTTCTCTATCATAACTGCTTCTCTCACCTCATCTTTCTCCTCCATTGTTTAATAATTCATTCAGTTTCCTTTGTTTTCCTGTACACACATTATATGCATTTGTGTGTTCATCTGTGTGTGTGTGTGTGTTTGTGTGTGTGTGTCCGTCCATCCATCAGTATGCAGATGGCAGATACTGGGTGTACTCTCCAGTTCTTGGCCGTCGTAAGCTAAACTCTAGCTCAAGTTACAATGTAAGTCACCAACAAAGTAGTTAGAGTCATTTGTTCCATTTGTTCTCATTGCTGGTAACTGTTCCACTGGGACTGTCACAAGCACAGCTGCTTATGGATCTTCAGAAGTAAAAATAATAATAAATAATAATAAAGCTACAGTGCATTTCACATGACTTATTTATTATTGAAGTCTACAAAAAAAAAGGCATTGCATATGAATAACTGTAGCTTCTAACGGGCCATCATGTGCATTTAAGCATGCATCTTTATGTAACATGTTACCAGTATTATTTTAGTACTAGTACTATTTTAAATCATCTTGGACCTAACTGTAGCTTTTATTGGATTTGGTCCCTCAAGCTTCTGCCCTGTAGCACGCAGGTAGCACAGAGGAGCTGACAGACAGATTAGTGTTGTCAGTGCTTAGCTAGAATGAAATCTCACTTGAAATCACCTGTTTACTAAAGCTGCACTTGAAACATGTTAAAGCCCCTGAAAATACATTTTCACATTTTGTGTATTTCCCTATAACATTCAATATTTATGACTAAATAAGCAGCAATGATGTTAACGTTTGGGGGAACAATTATTTATTATTTAGTAAAAATCTTGCTCAGCACTCAGCCAAACAGCTTCAGAAGTTAATGTTGGTAACCTAAGCTAACAAACCCACAGCTTTCATCCGATTTTGGTTAAAATGTTCTGATTAGCACACAGGAATATGTGACATCACTTATTTCCAAGCCCGGCCACTTCAAACCACAAAGACATCTCTGATGTAACACAACCAAACTGGCAGAAAAGTGTGTGGTTATTGAGGATCCCATTTGTCATAATAAGAAGCTGATTTAGAAAATATGATTTCGGGGGGCTTTAAAGTGAAATTACACCAATCTTAAGAAGGATATGACATCCCTTATATCTGAGACACTGTAGACTTTGCTTGTTTCTTCAAATTTAACTGCAGATTCAGATACATCTGTACATAAAGGAGCTGATACTTTCAAACATAACAAATTGTACTAAATAGTAATAAGCAATCATAGCCGGACAGAGAGCTAACTGTGTGCAGCTGAAAAATTCAACTAAATGCAGTTTGAAGCTCCCAACATGTAGAAATTGGACTGGGCAGATTTAAACTTTGGTGGCTGGGGAATGTCTTTAAAAATGTATCTTTCCCCAAATTCTTTCTCATCTTTCTCCTCGTCTCCTTTTTTCTGCCGCTGCCCCCTGCTGGCTGTATTGGATAACAGCAGAATCAGGAGGATCGGAGCTGGGTGTTCTCTCCTCTGCACTCCGGCTCAGAGTCCAGAAGGGGCTCAGATGGGGAGAGTGAGACAGTGAGTGTACAGTTTATTGATTATATATATATACATATACTTCTGTTAGCATTTCTTACACTTACCCCTATTTATTTGTCTCTCTGCTCTTTCAGTAACTCACAGTGGAGACAGCAGTGATGGGTGGAGCCAGAGTCTGTCTCCATATACAGAAGCTGTGAGGTTTTAATAATAAAGCCACCAAGACACTATGAGAATTGTTGTTTGTTACCCAAATTGCATGTGGAAGCTTGTTTTGCCAACAGAGACTAAAGGAATGAACTTACAGAAACATTCAAGTATACAACACTACAATCATACATATGCTCACATGCACTCAAACCAACCTATAGACATACAACTATCCAAATATTATGCAAAAAAATCATAAGGCATCAATTCCTGGACAATCTGAGTGGCATCAAGCAGAGAAATAAACTAAAATAACAATCAGCTGAGTGGTACTGTGAAGGATTTTGGTGGCTGTTAAGTCAGGTATTACTGCAGCCCTGCTGCCTGCTGTTTTTAGGTTTTTAGTGTTAGTCACGCTGCACTGTGCCAGCTTTGGCTATGCAATTTGGACACACACAATGCTGATTTCCCTTTTTGACTAATGCTACTGCAACTACTTCAGAGTTTATTCATGCATTTATTTTTTACTAGGGGCATGTCAACGCTGTATATAATTTTATTTTTTAGCACTTTATCAAAATACATGTGGCTGCAGTCTTTTGAAATGGTACATGTTTTGTTATTTTTGTTTGAAAACACTCGGACACAGTTTGTTTTGTGTGCTGTGTATGCACAGTGTTCTGTTCTTCCAGTGGTATGTGGTGGTCCACTTCAGAAACTTTGACCTGACAATTAATGGTTGTGTTCAAAATGCCTTATTACAAACTCATTTTCATAACTGTTTTTGATATTGCAGACACATGTAATCAAAACAAAAAACAAAAAAAAAATACAACACATAGCATTTTATTGTGAGTAAATACCAAGTTTACTGAGTTTAAACAATATTGCAACCATGCATTTATTCAGGATTTAGAACCAAGAGGTCAAGAGAGAACAAAAGGAAAAAATAAATAAAATGATCTTTTGTAAATGGCAGATAAACTGTGTGTGTGTGTCTGTCTGTGTGTGTACATGCATGTAAGTCTGTACGTGCCCGTTTGTCTCTGTCTGTGCATGTGTTTGCATGCATATTGATGTGTGATTGGAAGACATGTAAGTGTAAGATTTTTCTGTCCTGCCTATTTATCAGATTGTCAGAAGGTGTAACCTCCATTTGTTGTAATCAGCCATGCAAGTCGGAACCAGCTATAAGCATGTTGGCTGTGTGAGAGAAATTAAAAAAAGGTACCCCAGTCATTAATGAAACATGATTAACCATCAATTACCAACAAACGGAGCTAAACTGGAATAACCTCAATTTTCTATACAGTTTAGTAAGAAAATAAATGTACTGTTGCGACAGACAGCATCTTCCTTCATCCATACATGGTGATACTTGTAACACCACTTCCTGACTGATAAGCACTGCTGTAACATATTACTGTATTATTTGAGTCTGCTGAAGCTAACCTGCCTGTTTGTAGGCAACAGTGTTTGTAGCTGATCACTGTGTAAAAGAAAATAAAGATTATATTGTTTAAAAAACAAATTATTTTGGTGAATTTATTTATATTTTTCTACAATGTATTTTAGTTGTAAAATGTTATTTGCAAAATTAGCCCACTAGAGGGCACCACAATGTCTCAGAAAGTAGAGTTGTTAATCCTGCCCATCCAGTGGAAACTCATATAGAATCTTTGCTGCACTGTAAAATTAAATTACACAGAGACATAAGCCAGTATGTATATGCGCTGTCCATAGGCTATAATTCATTTTATTGTATTGTTGATGGGCCATAAAAGGGAGGCTCATATTTCATCACATCTCACTGACGTTTTAACTCACATACACATAAAGATATGAAGTCTCGATTGCAGGGGCATTTTTATTTATCTGCACAGGCTTTGCTGCTAAAAAATACACTGAAATAAAAACAGACAAGGGGATCTTAGCTGGCTGTCTGCAGAAATATACACTAACTCTATAAGTACAGTATATATATGCACAGAAAAATGAAAACAGAAGTCAAATTTGTACACTGAAGTACAGTCAAGTGAGAGAAAACATGCACTGTAGTCAGAAGTCACCACAAGACATTACAGTGAGTGCAGTGTGTGCACTGTGTTCCTCTATGTGTGCGCGCGTGTGGGTAGTGCATTGCGGTGTGCATATGTGCGTGTGTGCTTTATGTGTAAGCCAGTCACTCAGGGTGACAAGTCAGCCATGTCAGGGCCATGATAGAATGTGTGATGGACAAGGATGAGCAGCCACCTTCCCAATTGTCCTGGAATGAAATTGTCCCTCTCCTCTTTTTTTGTCCTTCTACCTCTCAACACACACACACACACAAGCACCTAATCCTTTTGCTCCTTCTCCTGCCTCCTCAATTCCTTCTTCCTGACATTCAGCCAGGAGGGTATTCCTTCACCAGTCCAGTGGTGCAACTCATTGATTAAGGTGAAGACATGACTAAGGATATAGCTAATGAACAACAAGCACCATGAAAAGATCTGTGCACTCATATCCTCATATGCAGTTTCTTATTCCTCTGCGCCACAGACCACCATTGTTGCCCAAAAACGGAGCCACACTGGTTGGTTGACATGTTACTTCATTACAATG